TATGGCGTTAGAAGACAGGTGAATGTATCCTTGACCTGGAGAGGGAGTCAGAGAAGAACTTAAACCAAAAGCACATACCATAAGGCAAATAACTGATGAATTTGATTAGATAAAAATTAAAAATTCTTGTTCATACTGTGAAGAAGACTATATACAAAGTTAATAGAGTACACATGGCAAAAGGAAGTTGCAGTACCGCAGCCCCTCCTTATCTGAGGGGGATAAGTTCCAAGACCTCCAGTGAGTGCCTGAAACCATGGATAGTACCAAATCCTACATACACTATGTTTTTTCCTATATATACTATGTTTTTTCCTATACATACTATGTTTCTTCCTATACATACATACCTACAATAAAGTTTAATTTATAAATTAAGCACAATAAGAGATTAACAACATTAACCGATAATAAAATAGAACAATTATGAAAATATATTGTAATAAAAGTTATGTGAATGTGCTCTCTCACTCTCAAAATTTTTTAATATTTTTGGACTGCAGTTGACTGTGGCAACTGAAACTGTAGAAAGCAAAACTGCTAATTAAAGGGGACTATGTATTTAAAATCAACAGAGGATTCCCTACTAGAACCTACAAGGAATTCTTGCAGAGCAGTAAGAGACAGTAATTCCAATAGAAAAATGTCCAAAAGATATAAACAATTTACAGAAGAGGGAAACTCAAAAAGACATGAAAAGATATTCAAAATCATCAAGAATCTGATAAAATGAGACAAAGAATAATATATCACTTATGCTTATTAGGCTAGCCAAAAAAAAAAGAAAGTTGGATAATGCCCAGAGGGCAGGGGCATGGGAATATAGGAACCCACATGGCTATCAGAAGTGCATGGATGGTACAATTGAATAGAAAGAATGAAAATAAATGACTGTTCAACCAAAAAAAGAAGAAAACAGAAAGAGAAGATTTTAAAATAAACTGTCATAGTTATAAAAAAATAATAGAGATAAGAGTAGAATTTAATAAATAAAACCCAGAAAAATGTGGAATTTCTAGATATAATCAAGAGTTATTTGCAAATGTAACACACACACATATCACTAGAAAACACAACAGCTCTGTATTGGGAATGAGTAAGGGGAAATAACCTTATAAAGAGAAGGCTTTAAAGGGATAACAAATTACTAAATATAACTTTTGTTTTATGAATTAAAAATCTGTGTGTGGGGCCGGCCCGGTGGCGCACTGGATAAGTGCGCTGCTTGGGAAGCGCGGCGGCGCTCCCGCCCGAGGGTTCGGATCCCACATACAGACCGGTTCCCGCTCACTGGCTGAGCGAGGCGCGGGAGCAACACCGAGGGTTGCGATCCCGTTGCCGGTCCCCGGTCCGGTATGGGGGCAACACTGAGGGTTGCGATCCGTTGCCGGACACGGAAAAAGAAAAAAAAAAAAAAAAAAAAAAAAATCTGTGTGAGATGGATTGCCTTTCTATTAAAATACAAATTACAAAAATTAACTTTAGAATTAGTTCATTCAACAAATATTTATGGAATAACTAATAATAAGCCAGTTTTTAAAGAAATAGAAAACTAGAATTGACCAATAACAATAGAAATAGAAAAAAAGTTGTCAAAAATTACATATTGCAATGTAATATTTATCACAATAACTTATTGATTAGGTTAACAAATATTTTAAGTGTTTTCTAAGTTTCTAGTATTGTGATAGAGGCTGAGGACCCAATGGTGAAAAAGATACTTAAGTTTGGTGAGTTCAAGGACAAAAAAGGAGATCAAGGTTCTGGAGCCTTGAGGGGGAAGTTTCAATTTTATTCTGAATGCAGTGGGGAGCCATTAAAGGATCTTAATAGGAGAGTAACAGCATAGGATTGTTTTTGAAAAAGCACATCCTGACTGTTGTGTACAGAAGAAAAGTTAGTGGGGCAAGAATGGAAAAGGGAAGACAGGAAGCTACTGAAGGAAGATGGCCCAGTGGCCTGGGATGGCATCCATGCAGGTGACCAGCTGCGAATAAATGAGATGTATTTTGCAGAAAGAACCAATAACACTTGCTGATGGAGTGGATGGGGGAGTGAGAGTTGTCCGGATTTGTGGCTTTCATAACCAGGTGGATGGTAGTGATGCCGCCTACTGAAATAGGAGAAACTTGTGGTGGGTCATGCTCGGGAAAGAAAAACATGAGTTTTAGTTTGGACACATAAACTTTGCCCCACCTGTGAGACATTCAAGTGGGAGTATCAACTTAGGCAATTGTGATAAAAATCTGGATCTCAGTAGAAATAAACATTTGAGCATCTCCACCTGAGATGTAGTGTTCATGGCCAATAGGATAAAAGGTCAGGATGCAAACCTTAATATGCAGATTGGCACTGTTAGCCACCCTGACATAGCCTCCAACAGTTCGGTTGCCCAAACCCAAAAGAAAATACCACCCAACTGATTTTAACAGTTTAGTAAAAGAGGAATACACTGTGACCAATACTGATTATTTTAGGAATAAAACAATGGCTCAAAATCAGGAAATCTAATAATAGGAGGGAAAAAAAACTATCAATAAAGAGGAAAAAAATAAGATTTTCTCCAAATGTTGAAAAGTTTTCAATTGAAATCAATATCCATTCCTGATATGTTTAAAAGTTTAAGCTATTTTTAAAAAGTATCTGTAGGACTGGAAGGATAGTTCCTTTCCATTGTCAAGAATTGTTCTTACCAACACAAAACCCATACCCTATTGTAATTCTTTTTTTTTTTCTGACCGGTAAGGGGATTGCAACCCTCAGCATGGTGTTGTCAGCACCATGCTCAGCCAGTGAGTGCACTGGCCATCCCGATATAGGATCTGAACCTGCGGCCTCGGCGCTACCAGCGTGGCACTCTCCCGAGTGAGCCACGGGGCTGGCCCTACCCTACTGTAATTCTAAGAGGAGAGGCACTCCCATTAATGTGGTAAACAAGACAATAATGCAATCTATCACTGCTATTATAGTAGATGTTCTGGAAGTTCATCTAGGTATGATTTTCTAACTGGAACATCCAGGAAAATCATCCAAAAATGTCTTAGAATAAATAAGTAAAATCATTAAGGTGACAATTTTTGAAATCAACATACTCGGGTACTTCAAAAAGTTCATGAAAAAATGGAATTAAAAGATAATACAAATCCTTCCACGAGCTTTTTGAATACCCCTCGTACAAAAAACTAGTGAGTCCCTAATCAACTGTAATTAATTAAAAGATTTAGCGAGGAAAAAACACTCCATTCATAATGGCAATTAAAGGTTCAATTTATCTAGGATTTAACCTAAAAATAAATAGTAGGATTTGTATGAGAAAGCTATAAAATTTTACTGAGACATTAAAAAAGACTAGAAAAAGAGAAAGACATACAATATTTTTGGTTGGGAAAACCAATGTTGAAAGATTATCAATTCAGCTCCAAATAATCCATAAAGTCAACACAATTTCAGTCAGAATTCAAAGGGGATTTTAAAGAACATGATGAAATGATACTCAAAATTAAGAGGACTAAAGGAATTTTTAAATGAGAAGAAAATCCAGGGTGCACTTGGCCTGTCAGTAACCAGAAAGCAAGGTTACAATAAGATCGAGTGGCATTGGTACGTGAGCAGAACAGCAGAGGGATGGGACTAGTGAGAAGGTACAAAAAGACCCATGCATTGCCTCATTAGACCGGGACTGACAGTCAGAGCTGGTATGAACTTGTCCCAAGGTCATAACAGCCCAAGGCAATGGACCTAAGATCTAAGTATAGCGACCAAAGCTTTCCAGCTCATTAAGGTACTGTGCTGAGAACCAAACTTCTGATAGAACTTGAATCTTAATTGGTTAAATTGGGAAATGGCAAGGATCAAACAGCCCCCGACCCTCACCCCACACTGTCTCCAGGGAAATTTCCTGTTTTTCCTGAGCTAAGTAAACTCGCTTGTTCTATTTTAATTTTTTGAGGTTATTGCTCCTTGAAGAATTTGATGCAAGCCATACAAAATTTCGCAAGTTCTGGAGTAGTAGTTTTTCTTTGGCGCCCTGAGGCCCAGCTCTGGACTAAATCCAGGGCAAAGGGGCCCCAATCATCAGAATTACCTGAGGAACTTTTTTTTTTTTTTTTGGCAGCTGGCTGGTGCAGAGATCCAAACCCATGATCTTGGTGTTATGAGATGAGCTCTAACCAACTGAGCTAATTGGCCAGACTAACCCTAGGAACTTTTTAAAAACAACATTGCTGAAACCTATCTCAGGCCTGAGGGTGTCTAGCAATGAGATTTGGGAAATTATAAAATTTCCCCAGGGAACGGTCACTCCTAGCTAGGCTTCGGAGTCAATCCTCAGGAGTCCAATACTTAACATTTATAATGCTTTTCACAAAAGACCACACTTCCTTTCAAGTGATCACACAACACTGTAACAGCACCAAGTAGAGTACAGTAGGAGAAAAACGAATATTTAACAAATTGAGAAAAATATTCTCCCAACTATAAGAACTGCTGCACATACTATTCACTTAACTGTTATTTTATAAGGCTGTAGCCATTACTGGGTTAGATACAGACATGTTTTGAATGTTTAATATGCAGCAGTTCACAGCACATGCAGTTGCCTTGGAAGAAGAAATAAGATCTGAAAAGGGAGAATGGAATAGGTAAGTTAAAACTACACTTTAGAAAACCTGTCAGCTTGGTTTTGTCAGTTGGTTGAGAGTCACATTCAGTGTCAATATGATGCAAAAATGTTTGTCATTGTTGTTTTATTATAGTTTTTTAAATGGTTGCTCCCTTATATGATTCAGCAAAATTCTAGAGAAAGTTGTGGCCCTTTCTCTTCAAAATCAAGCCAAATTTACAAGAAATGATGATGTAATTAGGTAATGAATTACACATCTAGACCCAAGTGGCCTCAGGAGCAAGGGATTGTGATCACAGTCCTTCCTGGCTCTCATTTTCTGTGACAGTTGGTGACATTCAACCATCAAGAGACCAAAGAGGTTCTGCAGGGTACATACAATCTGTTGTGGCTGAGTTAAACTGGATTGGTGCCTCTGGGACGACGGAACGCTTTCGCTTGGCTGAAAACTGTTGTTTTTAAATATCTTCAGGAATCCTTAAAAACAATAAAAGAAAAACTATAATTGATAAATGAATCTAATAACTGCTTCTTAAAAAGAAAAACCTAATATACAAGTTACTAAACGTCTAACAAATTTTCTCAAGAAAAAAAATAGAACAATATGAAACCAGGTCAGCTAAAAATGTTTTATTCTAAAAAGCAAACATGATAATAATCTCTTCGTCTTTCTCTAACACATAGAAAACTGTTGGTCTGTTTCATAAAAATTGAAACCTGTGAACTATTTTTTTAAAATTACATTATTTAGTGTAAGCAATACATCAACAAAAAGAAAATTGAGATCACCTCTAGTTTCTATTAAAACTGATTTTCTGTGTTTTTCCTTTCAGATTTTTTTTTTTTTTTTGGCAGCTGGCCTGTCCAGGTATCCAAACCCTTGATCTTGGTGTTAAAACACAGTGCTCTAACCAACTGAGCTAGCTAGCCAGCCCTTCCTTTCAGATTTGTCACATTTGATTCATGTATGAGTAAGATAGCTTAGTTACCTGCACTGTGACTTAGCTTTTCCCCATATATCACAGGCTCCAAAATCATGATTTTTGATGGTTACATAATGTTCCTTTAAGTTAATGTGTCATGATTTTCCTAGCTATTGCCCTGCTGTTATACATTTAGGTTGTCTCCCAGTTGGGTTTAATTTTAGATCATCCTGCTTGGAATTTGCCTGCATATGGCTTATTTTTTATTTATTTTTTTTCTTTTCCTTGTTTCTTCCATTACAGATAAATTCCAGGAGTGGAGTTTCTGGGTCACAGCTTCCAACTTCTTAATGCACCATATTGCTTTACAAAAGGATTGTACTGATTTGCAGTGTCTCTAGTGGGGTATGAACAGGAAAAAGAATAAAGCATACATACCAAGGGTTAGTTTTACATAGATGGTAAATCTTTGCAACAAACCCAGGAAATAGGTATCATTTCCTCCATTTTATGAATAAACAAAAGGAAGGTCGGGAAATTAGGTAACCTGTCTGAAGTCACAAAGTTGGTTGCAGAGTCCTCTTTCTAACCTCAAAGCCCTGCCACCTGCCTTGATACCTGAATATGCAAATTTCAGGCAACCTTCCAGCAGGGGTTGCTGTTACTAACGCTGTTTTTGTTAATTTAATGAATATAAAATCATAGCCCAAACTTATTTTAATTTGCATTTTATTTTGTAAATGACTCATCATTTCACCATTTATCTACTATAATCTTAATATTTTTCCCTTCACAAGTATGAAAAACTTGTGTCACATAAAAAAACATACAAATCACATGCTAGTTCTGCTTTCTTTCCCTTTTGGGTTAGTTCTTTTTCACTGTAAGAGCTTCTCAGTATTTATACAGCTAAAATTGTTCCTTTTCATCAGTGATTTTTTTCTTCAAATCTGAGAGTTAATTTTTCCAAAGGTCTGACATTTTTATTCAATTTTCTGTTCCTATTTTTCGGATAACTAGGTTTGTAAATATCTTTAGTCTTATTCTACCCGTTGTTTTTTGTAAGAAAAGGGAAACATCTCAAATGTTCAGCATGTGGGGAATTGCTTAATAAACCGTGATGCTCTAATACAGGAAAATAACGCAACCATGGAGATCACTGGGATTACGGGGGTGAAATTGCATTACGTTGTATGTGAATCTGGAGGCTAAGAAACAAAACCAGCAAGCTGTGGCTTTGCGTTGGTGAGGAAGGATGTGACAGTCGTGGAATTACAAGATAAAACAAACAAACAAAACCTATTTGCTACAGCTACTACAAGGAGAAAAGGAAAAATCCTTTCAAAGGGACAGTAAAAATGGATTTCTCCCCACTCTTTAATAAAGTACTACAAGGAGAAAAGGAAAAATCCTTTCAAAGGGACAGTAAAAATGGATTTCTCCCCACTGTTTAATAAACTTGAAGGCGCCTGCCGCACACGTGGAGGAGGCTGGTTATCAGAGGACCTCCACCCGGCGTGGGTCCCCTCCCTTGAAGCACCCCTGATGGCAGGGTTCTCTCTCCAGAGGGACAGGAAAGAATGTGAAAAGCGAAGCTGCGGGTCCCACCTGGTGCGGGCCGCAGCCCGGAGCCCCGACCGCGGAATCCAGCCGCAGCCCCAAGCCCTTGGGCGTCTCCGCTACCCCTGCCGCGAGTGCAGGGCGGGGCCTCCACGAGACCCCTCCCCCGCCAGGGCCTGAGGCCTCACCCACGCCCGCCCCGTCCTCCGGAGACTGCGAGGGGACCCGGCTGCGGCCTCCCACAGAACAGTCCCGGCCGCGAGGATGAAGGGCGGGGCCGTCTCCCGGGAGGACGCTGCGGTGGTGACGGGAGGCCCCCGCGAGGCCCGGGCCCCGGGCAGGCTCCCCCCTCCGCATCCCCGCGGCGTACCTTCTGGGCACCGGGGAGGGGCCCGGCCTGGCCAACGAGCGTCCTGTCCCCGCCCCAGCCGCCGCCTGCCGGCTCGGAGGGTGGTCCAAATGGCCGGGAGCTGGGAACCCCCGTGGTCCCCAGGAGCCCCTCCTCGGTTCTCCCCGCCGAGCGCCCCAGCGGAGCCGGGTGCGGCCCTCTTTGGGTTCGCCACTTCCTCGGGCCTGCGGCCCGCGCGACTCGCCCGTCCCGCACCCACGCGCGGTGTGGGGAGCAATGATTAGACACCTTGGCACCAACATCCTTCCGGTGGCCTCCGCCAGCCCTCTGCCCCATTCCCCATACACGGGGGCTTTCCTAACCGGAACAGCAAAGCCCTGCAGAGCCATCCGAAAAGAGTCGAGCCCACCCGGGCAGGCCTGAGACGCGCCGCGCGCCCACCGGGGAGCCCCCAGCCCCTCCTCGCTGCCAAGGTCCAGACCCCACCCGGCCGTGCGCCCTCAGGCCTTGACTCCAAGGCCCGCGGCTCACGCGCTCGGCGTCCGCGGCCCCCGCCCCCTGCCGGCTGTTTACCTGCCTGGGCCGGGAGCAGAGGAGAAGCAGCTCGCAGCGCCGCGGCTGTCAGCGACTGGCGCGGAGGGCGGG